AGCGTAGCGTACGTTCAACTGATTGAACGCCATCTTTGCATAGGCGAGGAGTATCATCAGCACCTACCGCATTGTGCTGACGATCATGTCCGTTCTATGCATCGAGAGGAGCTTCATAGTAGCCGGGGAATGTTTTCGAAAAGACTTAAAAGGGAGGTCTCTTCAACCTTCGGCGACTCAAAAGCTCGACACAGCAATACTTCATCATGAGTCCTGCCATTACCCACGTCACCGACCCTACCGCAGATGCCCATATTTTGACCTCGCGTTCTGAAGAGGTCGAGAAGGTTAGGATGCCGATCTGCACCTGTGTAGGGGAGATTTCACTGACATCCGTAGTTGCTGGGCCAAGTCCAAGATCTGATCATCCCTTTCATCCACTCAGCAGACAACCACAAGTCTCCCAATGACCTTCCGAATGGTCACTCCAACGGAGTGAACAAGAAGGGGTTGCGCAAGGCATTGGTCGAGCAGCATGACCCGAGGGAGCTGCAAAGGCTTATGGCATTGAGCTTTCCCACTGCTGGGCTTCTTGAGGAGGGCTTCTTGGAGGAAGTCGAGAAAGTCCTTCGCTACTCTGTGAACACCTGGGATGCAGGTTTCATGAGCAAGCTCTACGGCTCCACCGACGCACCAGGTCTAGCAGCTGAACTAGTGTTGGCCTCTCTCAACACCCAGGTCCACACCTTTCAGGTGTCGCCTGCACTAGCCGTCATTGAGAAGTTCACCGCACGCGCTCTCGCGAACCTGTTCGGACTGAATGGGGCTTTCGCAGGCGGCGTAACCACCTCAGGAGGATCAGGCTCCAATGCAACTGCTATGCTAGTAGCACGTCATACTCTGTTCCCCGAGACGAAGCAGCTGGGCAACAGTGCTGGTGGGCTTCGACTGGCCGCTTTCACTTCAGCCAATGGTCATTACAGCATCGAAAAGGCTGGGTTGATGCTTGGTCTCGGCATGTCGTCGGTGTTTGCGGTCCCTGCCGATCCAACGACTCGTAGCATGGATCCGGCGGCGCTTCGGTCCTGTATTGAGAATGCCATCTCTGAAGGATTCACACCCTTCTTCTTGAACGCCACTGCCGGAACAACCGTTTTCGGCGCTTACGACAATCTTCGCCCACTCCATGCTATCTGCAAGGACTTCGGCATGTGGCTCCATGTTGATGCCTCTCTGGGTGGGCCCGCTGTTTTCAGTGCAAAGCACAAGTACAAACTTGACGGAAGTCATCTGGCCAACTCCATCACCATCAATCCACACAAGATGATGGGCGTACCCGCAACTTGTTCCTTCGTGCTCAGCGCGGATATACGTCAATTCCACACCAGCAACACATTACCCGCGAGCTATCTTTTCCACAGTGCTGATAGCTCGGAGGAAGTGTTTGACTTGGCTGATCTCACCATGCAGTGCGGACGTCGTGGCGATGCATTGAAGATGTACCTGAGTTGGATGTATCATGGCTACGAGGGCTATGCCAAGCAGGTTGACGCAGTCTTCAGTACCGCTGCATATCTTGCAAGGCTCGTGGAAGATCATCCAAATCTCGTTTTGATTAGCCCAAACCCGCCACCTTGCTGCCAAGTGTGCTTCTACTATGCAGAAGGAGGACGGTTGAGCGAGGATGCTGGTCGCAATGAGGAAGTTACGAAGCAAATAGCGGCGCAGCTCGTGCATCGGGGGTTCATGGTGGATTACGCTGGCGGAGATACCCGTGGCGCGTTCTTGCGACCAGTTGTCAGCAGGGGAACTGGCATCCAGAAGGTGGAAGAGCTGATCGAGGTCGTGGAGCAGATCGGATCCACTGTCTGGGAGAGCAATGTGGAGACCTTCATGGAGGACTCAACGGGTTCAGACGTTTCGCCCTAGCGTGGTAGTACTATTACCACTATTTCGCTTCAGTTTTCGGATTGATGATAGCGCACAATATCATTCGTTTGCCACATGCATCATCTGCAGTCCAATGTCAGCCGAGTTCCCGATCATCAAGGCGTGTATCAGCCAGTGATTTGACACAGCCCGACATGAAAGTACAGGTACTCTAAAGAGCATACATGGCTCATACCCACATACAGCATGCCGCCGTGAAGGAACCATTCGGCTGCAGGCCAATGTGGAAAATGATAACAGCCTGTAGTAGTCCAGAGCCCAGGGTGTTCTTGTCATGGTGCCAAAGATGTGACGGGCGTGTAACAAGTGCTTACCCCCGGTAGTGTGGCCTCAACGCCGGGCATCGTGTGGGTGTAGGAAAGGGGCTTGACCCATGGCGATGCCACCGAACTCGGGGCACGCGTGGCAGAAGCTGCATATGGGCAAGTAGATTAAATGAAGGGCGTAAATCTAAACGCCATGCTGTCTAGATGCAAATGCGTGCTTAGATTTTGATGTAACGTCGTAAAAGTGCGGGTGATAAATAGGTTTGCGCGAGATATGCAGAGTCTGCGGGAAGAGCTAGCGCGGTTTTAGTGCGGGGCTATTACCTATATATACTAAAAAGTATTAGTATTATTTTAAGTACTATATAAGCTATAAGTAAGCTTAATAGTAAAGTAAGTAATAACTACTTTAATATAGCTAAAGTAAAGTTAAAACTTTTAAAGTTAAACTAGATTAAATATAAAAAAAAAATTTACTTACTAAATTTACTATTTTAAAGCTATTATATATTAGTGTTATTAATTATATTATTAGAGCTCTATCTAAAAAGAGAAGTACTATTATAGCGCTAGTCTAGATAGCTAATTAGATAGCGCTAAGCTACTAAGTAAGTAGCTCTATAACTACTAAAATTCTTATATAATTACGCCTATTATATACTTCTTAAGCTATATTCTTATCTTAGTCTAACTCTAGACTATTAGTAATATATAGTAAATACACTAATTATATATATCTATCTTCTCTACTAGCTAACTCTATTATAAGATTATACTTTCTAGATTTTTCTTCTTAGTTAGTAAACTCTAATATAATATCTAATTAAGTGTAGATTGTATATAGCCTATTATCTTATATTAGTTAGAGTTAGCTTAAGCTATTAAGTAAGCTTCTAGAGTTAGCTTAAGCTATAAGGCTAGTACTAAAATTTATAGATACATAGACTATATTTAATAGAATTTAATAGCAAAAGTTATAAACCTAATAAACTTAGAGATAGATAATAGGTATTAATATTATAGAAGAGAGCGTAGAGAGCTTTATAGCACGTAGTAAGGTAGTAGAAAGATAGTAGAGAAGGTAGAAGAGGCAAAAATAGAGTAGAGAGTGTTATAGTAAGAAGAGAAAAGAGAGGCAAGAATAGAGGTATAGAACCTACGCTAATTTTAAAACGTAGTAGAATTCTATGTAGTCGCTTAGAGGTTAGTCTATATTAAATCTTTTATGCTCTACGACGAAAAACTACTTCTACAGAAACAATACTTTCTTTGCTAACTTAGGTTGTTTAGCCTGTGCCTAAGCAGCACCTGTCTTCTCGTTGTTGCATTTCGTGGATACGCAGCCGTTAGCGTATCCACATCCACTGTAGGTCCCCGATCCGGGTTTGATACAATAATGGCTGATATCCACCTTGCCATTACCCTTGGTCGTGCTGCTCATGCCATCGCTCCTGCGAGTTGTCTCTATCTTGTTTGACAGTCCGTAAATCCAAAAATTGTCGTTACCCATAACGAGCGTTTGCTCCAGGAACGTAACGTTCGTGTCTATCGCACCAAAATTAGCCTCTTGCACTGAGCTTCGCAGACGTGGATGTCCGGCAGATAGAATAATCAAGATGACTTACAGTCCCATTCATACTTCAATCCCGTGCTACACACATCCGTCTCGGCAGGCGCACTGGTTCCTTGTGGCACGAAGCTGTAGTGACACTTTCCCTCAATGACATTGGTGATTGATGAATGGAAAGTAGCGTTGAAGTCGCGGATGCTGTAGCCTGGGCGACCGGACTGTGTAGAAATGCTCACGTCCCAGTATGTGTCCGCAAGATCGGGGCGGTCGTATTCGCTCTCTGCGACTGTCACGGCGGCCGAGCCGGCGAGCGCAAGCGCGAGGAAGGAGAAACGCATAGTCAATTGATTTAGGTTGTTGTGACTGAGGTGTGTTAAAATGCGCACGGGGCGAACTGTCTTATTTCTACAGCTGCACGGAAAAACACCTCTAGGCACCAGGGAGCTATACGAGCATGCCCCAGATAAACGGTACGCCTTACAAAAATCCTTTCGTGAACGGGCCGTGAGTGGGTCTCCCCGTCCTCGGTTCCTGAAGCTCGCTACACCTAATTGGTCGTGTAGACGGACCTGCATCTCCGACCTTCCCCATTCGGACATTCTAAAGTCGAGACCCTTTCAAGGTAAATTTGATGTGTATTTATATCGTGATGCTTAAGATGCGGTGAGTGTCTATGCATGTTGTCGTGAACGAGATATGGCAGTAGTATTCCATATGTATCTAAGTATTCGTATGTCCTCAATGCATCTCTCAATGGAATAGCAACCCGCAAACAATGGCCAGACGTACCACTATTTCAACTCTACCATGTCTTCCCATCTCTGCAATATTCCAAAAGGACCATGTCCATTCATGCAGGGTACCTCCATATAGCAGCCCTGATCGTACGAAGTTCGTCCAGGTGGGCCAGATCACGTTATGAGCATCGTTCAAGCTGCGGCGCAGCTGCCGCTTACGCAAGTGTTCGGCTTCTGACATGGCGTCGAGGCATCACAGGTCCATCCAGTGCATCTGTAGATCCAAGTTAGTTTTCCACGACTCGTCGCACACGTAAAGATCGCTCACCCCCAGTTGCACTGCGCGCTGCTGCAAACGCCATCGGGGCTCAAACATGTCAAGCCAGAGTTGCAATCTGTCGTATTACTGCATTTCGCACCTACGGCGCCGGTGGTCGGAGCTGCGCAGGCGCCGTTTACACACGTGTTTGGTTTCTGGCACGGCGACGAAGCACTACAGGTCCATCCGGTACATCTGAAAATTTTGGTTAGTAAGTCTCAAAAGCCAAAGGAAGGAGGATCTAACCCCCAATTACAAGCGGCTGTGCTGCAGACACCATCAGGTGCTAAGCATGTCATGCCAGAATTACAGTTCGTCGAGTCACTGCACTTCGCACCTTCGCCACCACCAGGTGGAGAGGCAGACGGTTTTGGTGAAGCAGAAGTCTGCATCTTTGTAGGAGCAGGAGTCGTTGGTGCTGCTCCAGCTTTTGTTGGCCATACGGCGCCATCCGCAGCATACTTCGTGTTGACGCGTCCTGTAAGCTGCCACTCCACACCCTTGATGACGTCGTTCTTGTTACCGTTGGGGTTCCCGTGGATGTTCGAGAAGGCGTCGATCATGATGTCGATAGACCCCGGCGACTGATGAACCGTGTTACTAAGTGATCTTGCGAAATAGTACTCGAGGAGATTACTTACAAGGACATATTTATCATCAAATGCGTCGCCAATGTACATAAGCATTTGCTTGCCAGTTTTGGGATCCTTAACAGTCGCCTCGAGACCACAGTACTTTTGCGTTGCTGCCTTCCAACCCGCTGGGTCCGAATTGTAGGTCTTGCCGCCCATCGCTTTTAGGGACTGAGCATCGTTCTCGTTAGTGACAATTCCAGAGATCTTGAAAAGGGTTGTTACCTACCACAGCAAAGACAGGATCGCTGTTATAGTACGTGTACGCACACCAACTCTTGCCGTTTGTCGAGTCTTGGCCGGCAGAGGCACGGTACCATGATCCAATACCGCTCTGTGGACCATCGAAGAAGTTCGAGGGAAGATTGACATTGTGGATGTCTGCGAGCGCGGACCCAATGAGAGCCGCAAGAGCGATGGGATAAGCAGGTGATGGCATGTTGGATTCGCTTGGAACTGTTTGTTGAAGCTTGTGAATGTTGATGATTCTGTCTGCAGCGCTCCAGCCTGTCTTTATACAACGCAGACGTCGACGTGACTATTCCCGCAGTGACCTCGATACTCTGTACCTTCTCCTGGTGCTCGATCGATGTAGGCACTAACTGAGCATATGAGGTGCACTAAGCTACACGAGGCTTAAGCTGAAGCTTGAACATCGGAGGTCACTGCATAGTAGTCCTGCAACTGCAGCCTAACTCGATTCATAACGGAATGAAGAGTCCGTGCTAGCGGGAAATCGATAGAACGGATGTTAGACTAGGCGTCCTGTGTATTTGCCTACAGTGGCATCCAAACATACAGCGGCAATGACGATCAAACAATCGAGACGCATCTGTTTTCCTTCCTGGGCCTAGCCGGGGCTATTTGAAGCCCCGACACCGAATTCATGCGCTAGAAGTGCATGCCGTACATGGTTCAACCTTCTGTTAGATCACCACAAGGAATAAACGATCTTCCATAATTTTCTTGCCAACACATTACGTATACACATGTGCCGAGGCATGGCTGCAAAATTGTGGGTTGAAGCGTGCCTCACGCGGCTTCTTGCAGTAGATCAAACCTTCACTTGTCCAAATCGGGCCGAACCGGACGTTAGTAGTCGGACGCTCCGAGATCGTGATCAACAAGACCCGAGTTCGAGAATACGAGCAACTTCGATTGGGTGACTTCATTCCTGATGAAACATGAGGAGCTTGCTACTACAGCCACAATCTACGTGCGAAGAAAGACGGCTGCATGCTATGGAGATGTCGCTGAGCTCATGAATATCTGCGAAGGACACCGAAAAGCTTAGCATCAGAAGCCTCTAATGTTTCTTGGTAGAAACATGCGAATACACACGAACGCATTATCTGCCTGAAAGTCTGAGGTGATCAAAACCAAACTCGCCTCTTGGATCTAGCGCAGATGATCGGTGTGACATGAAAAGCGGTAACCCTTAGGGTTCATTAGATCTATGAACTAGATATGAGTACGCCGGACCGACACAGTGTGCTGCCCTTTCAAGCAAGTATCAGTGTATAGTGAATATTGAAAATACGAGGGCGGTGACAGATAAAACTCTTCATCTCTTTAGCGGCTGTCGTCTATGGCACTTTCATGAATTCAATCGAAGTGAGAAGGTCGAATTGCAATGGAATTAAGAAAGCTACGTGCTTCCACTTGTTCACATAATGACATGATGATGAAAGACCGCTGCGACATCAGCGTCCGCAAAACCGGGGCAGTCATGGTCGTGCAAGAGGCAATGTTATCATATCAGCCTATTTTAGGGATACAGTCGGATAAGCTGCTCTAATATCTGACAGGCCAGTCCATGACAGCTGCACGGACGTACTTAGGCTCATGACTGACGCGTCATGTCTAAGTTGCACGCTTTGGGCCATGGTATAACAGTGCGATGTCATAGTATAATAGTGGCGGTCAACGAACTCAGCACGAGGCTGTGTACAGGCAACGTATGCAGGCAGTGACACCGGGCCGCTTGACGCCCATTGATGTGGCAGAGAACAAGAGCTGCTCTGGTGCTTGAGCAGTTGATCGGACCAAACATTACGATGGAGCATCATCAGACGCGAGGCGTAAGAAGCAGGATGCAATCGGTCCTTTGCCGGGATCTCGTATATCTGTAAGACAACTGTTAGAAGGCGATGCAAAAGCATATATAAGCCCACTAAGTCTCTGTCCCCAAGCTTATCAAAGTCCTCAACATTCGATACGGTTGTTCCACTACCCTCCATCGCTGTCGCATATCCGAGTGCCTTGTTCAAGTGAGTCAAAAGGACAGCCTGGGATCAATATGTACTGATACCTATCCTAGCATACCCAACATGGTCAAATCACTCCTCCTAGCCATCTACGCCACGACTGGTACCCAAGCCCTCTGGCTAGCTGCCGTAAACATGGATTACGGCTCAGCTGTCGGCACTGCGATATTTAGTTCCCCGTATTGCCAAGTCGGTAAGGGCAATACTGAAGCAGAAGCCCTCTCCAAAGCCAGCAACACCGTAGGTGGCACTGCAATCATTGCTGGTGGTCACTGCGATCAGCTTCCGTACCAACATACCAACCAGCTTGGCGGATTCTGGGACGATTACGGAACGATCAATTATGAGGATGACAACTGGCATTGGTATTGCAATCCTGGCCACACGAACAGGAACTCATGCGACGCCGGGAATGGATCGCCGAAGAAGAAGAGAGCAGTGAAGCTCACTGCTTAGCTCTCAGGCGACGCTAAGTATTGTATCGGAGATCTTTCGAAGGGCGTGGTGAAATGTAAAAGAGCTTAGAGACCACGTATCCATGTGGCATGGAGGACCTCTGGCTAATTTTATGAGAGCGTCTCTGTTCAACACAGCAGTTATGTAGTCACCCATTCTACTTCTTGTCAACATGAGTCATGGAAGCCTGTATCTGCCAGCCTCGCATTGCATCGTCTTAGGGTGACTACGTTCCTGCTTTAGGATCAACAGATCTTGAGACTGCTTAGACGCGAGAACGAAGTGGATATTTTCGACCACTGCGCTGTCGCTGTTGAAAGTCCGTATGGGACATACTGCCCTCCGAGCACCGTGGGCTCCAGTGTAACAACACCCGCCATTAACACGCTTCTTTCCTGATGATCCGCGCGTTGCCGAACGTCCCAGTGCAGTTGCTCGAGTTCAAGTTTGGTCATTGTGGGTTGTGCGGCTTTGCGTGCGACGGGGTCTGGGGCTCACCGCCGCCTTCGATTCGGCGGACTGAATCAGGGGAGTGCAGCGTGTCATCATCTTGGCAGGGCGAAGGAGAGGAAAATAGTATCTCGCGTTCGTAAAATTAAATGTAAAGGAACTTCTCCCTATTACACAGAGACGCATGTCGCCTGTAGAATTAACAAATCTAAACCAGCGTATTCGTAGGTAGGTCCGTGTGCTGTTTAGCAGCCGACTTTAGATACAAAGATAGAGCTCTTACCTAAACTATAGAGATTAACAAGCTACTAATTATTCTAACTTTGCAATTTATCTTACTTTGTAGTCTCTAACTAAAATTTTCTGTAAAGGTATAGTAACTTAATAGTACTTAGAAGACTAAGTTTTAGAGAAAGTTCTATAGTATATAATACGTTAGAAGAGATACCTACTCTAGTTAAATAGTTATAGTATATAGAAGAATTAACTAAAGTAGATAAGTTATATTCTAAATCTAAGATGCAGTAACTAATGCAATTGTTAGGTTCTGTATTTAATATACTATAGTATAGATTTAGTACTCTTATTTAGATAGTTCTAAGATAGTATTAATACTTTTTAAACTTACTACTTATACTTATATAAGTCTTTAGAATATAGTAAGAGTTTAGCTTATAAATAAATATAGTGTTATACCTAGTACTACCTTAAAAATAATCTTTATAGAAATATACTTATTTTATAAAGTACTTATAGAGATAGTAATAAGTTTGTATATATAAGTAGTTTTTCTCTATTTATCTTAGATACCTATACTACTACGCACTAATCTAGACTAGCTATATAGTTTCTAGATAGAAACTAATTAGTTCTTAGTGTATAGAAGTAGTCTATAGTAGGTTACTACTAATCTTTATAAGCTTTATACCTAGTTCTCTTCTACTATCTTACTAATTAGTAAGTATAAGAGTAAAGCTATATAATAAACACTATTACTAGAGTATAGCTACTTAAGATTATATAGTATTATATAAGTATAGGTAGATAATTTAATATTAAATAATAAATATTTACTACTAGTTATAAGTCTAGATATTAATAATACTTATAGCCTATAGAAGCTACTATAAAAGAATACTAGAAGCTTATATTATAAAGTTAGGTAGCTATTAGAATAGTTATCTATAAGCGAAACTAAATTATCTATAGAAACTATAGTTAGTAGATTACTACTACTATTTATTAATATTATTTATATCTTTCTAGATAATTTTACTAGTTATAAGAAAGGCGTTTAATTACTATAAAGATTTGCGTATTATAGTAGCCTATTATAAAGTTAGAAGCTCTAGGTAATTCTTATTAGTAGTAGTATCTATATATATAAAGTTAGTCTAGATCTATTAATTTTTAGCTATATTTAACCTATACTATTACTAATAAATAATTATAAGATTCTATCTTCTTTAAGATTTTCTATCTTAAAGAAAACTATACTTTCTAGTATAGAGATAGTAAGAAAAAGTAGAAGTAGGTCTAAAATACTCTATTTAGTATACTATCTTAACCTTTTCTTTAAGGTAGTATTATACTATATTATAAAATACGTCTTCTAATCTTTTAACTTTATTCTTACTATACACTAGTGTAATTAAATAGAAGACTATCTCTAGCTTTATCTATAGAACTTTTTAGAGCTATACGCTACTAATTATATAAGTAAGAAAGCTACTTTAGAGTATATAGCGTTTGTAATTATATTAGATAGTTTTCTACTAGATATATATTATAAGTATTCTATATATAAGCTTTTATCTTTTAATAGTAACTAGTAGACTTTAAACTATTAGTAGTCTTTAACTTACTATACTAATCTTACTACTTTAAAGCCTTTTCTTTACTATCTTCTAAATAAAAACTCTTTCTAGTAGCTTTATATATATAGTTAAAGGCTATCTTTAGCTAGTTTTATTTAGATCTAGAGAGAGATATACTTATAGTAGTTTAACTATATAAGAAAAATCTTTAGAATATTACTATTAACTAGAATATAATCTATAGCTCTTAGCTATATCTTTACTATCTTTTCTATAAGCCTAAATATAGCTTACGCTATAGATACACGCTTTATAATTTCTACACTAGTAAATTTAGATTAAAAAGGTAGTAGATAGAATATTTCTACTAGATCTTCTAGTGTATTTTATATTAATTTAAGAGTAAGATTACTATTTATCTTAAGCTACTAATAGTAGAAAGCTAATTA